GAAGGAGCAGAAAGGAGAAGGAACAGAAAGGGGCAGCGAGGAGGTGGAAGGGACAGCAAGGAGCACAACAGGTAAAGTAGGAGAAGGAGCAGAAAGGAATAGAAATGAGCAGGAAGGGGCAGCAAGGAGCAAGAAGGGTCTGCAAAGAGCACGAAGGGTCAGCAAGGAGAATGAAGGGTCTGCAAGGAGCACAAAAGGTCAACAAGGAGAAGGAAGGGTCAACAAGGAGCAGGAAGGGTCAGCAAGGAGCAGGAAGGGTCAACAAGGAGCTGGAAGGTAAAGCAACACAAAGGTAAAGTAGAAGGAGCAGAAAGGGTCAGCAAGGAGCTGAAAATGGCAGCAAGGAGCAGGAAGGGACAGAATGAGTGAATAGGTGAAGTAGGAGAAGGAACAGAAATGAGCAGGAAGAGTCTGCAAGGGGCAGCAAGCAATAGGAAGGGTCTGCAAGGAGAAGGAATGGTCTGCAAAGAGCAGAAAGGGACAGAAGGAGCACAAAGGTAAAGGAGTAGAAAGAATCAGAAGGAGCACAAAGGTAAAGTAGGAGAAGGAGCAGAAAGGGACCAGAAAGAGAAAGGAGCAAAAGGGGGAGCCCAATAAACAGAAAGTATCAGAAAGGTAAAGGAGCAGAAGGAGCCAAGGAGGAGACAAGACAGTGTCAGAAGAAAAAGAAGACTGTGTAAAATGAAGGAGAAGAAAAGGAGATTGGAGCAGGAAGGACAAGTGAAGTGATCCCTCTACTTCATTTTAGACACCACATCATAAGGCTTTGGTACCTGGGCCTGGCAGGGAAACTTTGGACCTTCTCATCTTCCCAGGTAAAAAAAATATCAGTGTTAACCCCTTAAGACCGCAGGACGTTCTATGCCGTCCCTATTTTGATGGCTCATAGAACGCCCTGCGATCTTGTGTACTTACCCGGTCGCCGGTGATCCCACGTCGGCGATCGAGGTATGGGTACTCACCTGGGAGGCCAGGGAGTCCCCCTCCGTCCTCTTCGGCCCCCCGGGCCATGTGATCGCGAGGTCCTTGCGAGGACCTCGCGATCACCTGCTGTCTGAAAATAAAATTAAAAGATGTTAAAACAGTGTAAGATGAAATAATATATACTTAGATCATATATATGTATATATATATATGATCTAAGTATATATACACACATACACTGTCTAAGTGTATTTTAATATTAATATATACATAATTATATATATATTAATATCAAAATACTCGTACAATGATATTAAGTATATATATATATATATATATCATTTTCATAATATATATATTTATATATATGATAAATAAATAAATATGTAAATACGTTAAAAAAAAATTAAAAAATAAATAAAAAATATATATGTGTAATTTCGTTCTAACTGTATTTCAAAATTACTACATATATTTATGTAATAATTTTACATAATTAGGTCATTTTATTAATTACAATTTGCAGGACCTGCCTAGCACTATATTTAACCCTGTAACTTTCCAAGACACCATAAAACCTGTACATGGGGGGTACTGTTTTACTTGGCCCTTGCGCGCCGCGTACTGATGCCGGAGCCAGAATATGACGTCATCTTCCAGCTCCAGCATCAATGCGGTGCACAAGGGAGCTGAAGAGGAAGCAGTCAGGGGAGAGTGCTCCCTCGCGTGCCCGCCAGCCCACCCGCCGGGTGACACCAGGGCCAGCCTCGGGGGGCCCTGAGGTGACCGGCTGCTGGGCCCCTCAGGAGAAGAGGCTGGCCACAGTGAGTACATACCGGGTCGCAGAGCGGCCGGGCCCCCAGGACCCCCATGGTTGTCGTGCCCTGATGGCGGCCCTGACCATATGGTCTCAAAGGCAACGTAACCAATCTGGCGAATTTCAATGTGAAAAAACTGAAAAATGTAACACACTATATTTGACCCTGTAACTTCCCAAAACACCCAAAAAAAACTGTACATAGGGGGTACTGTTTTACTCGTGAGACACCGCTGAATACAAATATGTGTATTTGATTGCAGTAAAAGCAAACAGTATTTTGAAATTCACAGTTAAAATGTCATGTAGAACTAAGAAAATTTAAAAAAATCTTATTTTCTCCCATTTTTTAAAATTGTATTCATATTAAATTATGTTCCATACCTAAATATTTGATGTTAAATGAAAGCCCTGTTTTCCCTGAATAAAATGATATGTAATAAGTGTGGGTGCATTTAATATGAAAGAGGTGACTTACGGTTGGACAGACATATAGCGCAAATGCCAAGTTTTGTTTACGTTTTGTTTTGATCACAACTTGTACATTTGGCTGCAGTCTTAAGGGGTTAATGTGTTCACTTTTATTTACTGAGGGCCGCTGGGTAGGGGTGCCGCTGATTGGCTAGAGTGATCAGCCGGCACTCTAGCCAATCAGTAGCTCCCCATTCATAAAAACGTATAACATTTTTATGAATCGAGAACTAGTGATTGGCTTAGAGCGTCAACTGATCACTCTAGCCAATCTGTAGCACCCATGCCTGACGTCAATCTGCACTTCCTGACACTTCGTTTCAGGAGCCGAATACCACTGAGCGACCTGGAAATCTGGAGCTGAAGGAAGCCTTTGGGGTTAAACCATTTGAGAGCGGTTTAACCCCTTAAAGAAAAGAGAGCACCCAGGGGCCTCCTGACATCATAGCATTTTAATTTAGATGAAGTTGTTATGGTTACCAGAATGTTCCTGTAATTTGCTTAAAGGAACACTATAGTGTCAGGAATACAAACATGTATTCCTGACACCGTAGGTGTGAAAACGCTATTCTCCCTGGCTTTATGTGAAAAGGACTATGCTCCTCCCCTTTGTGACACTGTCAAAAAGGGACCAAGCATGGATGTCCTTACAATTATGCCCCAAACCCCCCCGGGAAAATTCCTGCGGACGCCCATGCCTAGGTAATTGATTAATTGATAATGATAAATGTATCCTGTTAGGAATTGTTCATGTCGTATTGATCCTTGCGTTTGTATGCTTGTACAAACCGTCCTGGAGTGCTTGTGCCGCTTGATTCTTGGGACCTACTCACCTGTCTCTCTCTTCTGGCTGACCCTATACTAACTATTTAGCAATTTGTCTATCTGGCCAAAACCCATGCAGGCCGAAAAATCTGAGATGCTTACTTCTGAGGACATAAACTTTGCACGCAAGTATCGGGAAAGTGCTGTCTAACGCCGCAGGTTCTGTAATAACCCTTTCAACAATTGGGGTGTTGCACAGAGCATTGTGGTGAAAATCCAACAACTAAAGGAAGTACTAAGAACTATGTGGAAGCTGACATTGCCTTGTTGTTGGCCATCTTGCTATTAGCCATTCTTATAGAACAATTTATGGTGTCCAAAATGATTTCTTT